AAAGCCTAAAGAAATACGTACAAAATGAATCCAAAGCTTTGAAAAATTAAGACCTTAACTTTCTTTTTTTCAAAAGGTTTTCTGATTATTGTTGTAGCTGATAGTTCTTGTTAAGGACTGAAGATTCAAAGGAGTCTTTAGCATATGAAGAAAAAAAAATAGTGCAATGGGTGCAATTAGCACAAAAGTGGTACATTTATTCTTTTAACATTGAAATAAGTCTCTGTAAGCATTATTAACTTTTTCTTTCTTGACATCTTAGAAGAAAGGGCATGATCTTACCATCAGGATGTGGAAAACCTTTCAGCATATTTAGTTGGGCTACATTTCTTGAAAGCTGTTGTGCTAAATTTTGCAGTTGTGTAAGCAGATCTTTCAGTCATAGGATTACTTGTTATTTATAGTTCTAGTGAGTTAGTGGACATTGCAGCCAGGATTTGTTTATAGTGTCTCTGAACCTTTGTGATGCAAATTGAAATCTCCAGAATTTGCATTTATAGGAAAGAAATATATATATCTATCTTTGTTCTCTTAAATTCTAAATATATTCTAGCCCACTGTGAAAGAATACCTAGTTTAGGTGAAACAAATATGAGCAAAATATTAATGGGGGTTGAAATTCAGTGTATTGATTCAGAGTTATTTGACTCTAAACTGAGATAACAAAAAGACATTTGAGGGACCATTTTTTTTCTGTTTCAGCATATCACAAGTTGATTGCTTTTCTTTGGCCTTGAATTAAGTCCATATGTTAGGACAATAATAAGTAACTTCTGTCTTGGGTAGAGCGGGGCAAAGCATATCACATAGAACTATTAGTGGCTATTAAGCTATGACTATTTATTATTTTTATTTATCGTGTCTTACCACAGTTCAACCTTCGTTGAAAAATTATTGAGTAATTCTGCAAAACTGCTGATGTCACACCAAACAAAACAGAGGATTTCCACCCAACATGGGCAGAAGTAAAAAAGTAGCATAACTTCATCTTACTTGAAATATAATTAGACTTAGATCTCTGTAAGGCAAAGAGCAGAAGGGGTATTAAGCCAAATTAATAATTTATAAAATATCAAATCTAACCATATGCCAAACAGGAAAATCATCAAAGGAGAACATGATTAAAGCATAATGTATGCAACAGAGAACTGTTTAGGGCTGACATAGTTCAAAGATAATAGTATGCAACAGTGAAGCACACGCTGATGCTGACATCTTGAACAAAGTCTGTGAGCCAAATTCCAAAGCATCTGTTTGCGATGCATGTTTAAGCAATAGGTTATATATAAGGCTCAAAAATATTGATCTTGAATTTCTTGAATTTTACTTTTTTTTTTTTGGAGGGAGGGTAAGTTGTTAGCTCTTTATTTGTGTATTTCGTGTTTATTTTCATCTCAAGGTCAAAGTCTATAGCCAGTTTCCCCAAGTGTCGGTAGAGGGTGTTCAATATGCAGGGCAATGGCAATGCATGTTTTCCAGAGATGAATATCTAATCACTTTCTGTATTATTATAAATCTCTAATTATTTTTATATTGAAAGCACTTGTCATCTTCTGAAAATTATAAGACATGAAATCAGGGTAAATTAAAATTAGATCATTGGATATCAATGGGAATGTCCGATGGGAATTTTAGTTTTCCAGTAGTGGTGAATCAAATAAGATCCTTAAAGTCACTATGTATTCAAAACTGGTGAATAGGTTTGAGACCATTCACAGCCATCTGAAATAAAAGTGCAAATCCAGAGAGATAGTTTAGGATGAGTGAATAATTTAGTCAAGCTGACTCTTGAGGATGAAGTGGGATTTCAGCACTTCCTTGGTGTGAATGAAATGTTAGCTAGTAAGTGCTGAGTCTTTATTTGTTCAGTCATGCAGACACTTGTTTCCAGATTATATTTACTGTTGTAGAAAACATCATAAAAATCAATAGAACTACTTCTGTCAGCAAACATTGCTTTCCTTAATTAGTGTTTGCATGATCCAGCACCAATTAATATCTCATGAAAATTTCCACAGTCACAGTGTAAATGGAGTAATTTTTGCTCCCATGGAAGCTCCCATATGCAGGTGCTTGTTATGTACATCTAAATTGAAGATAATGTATTAATTACAAAAAACTTCATTTTGACATGTGAAACAGAAAAATTATTCCCAAACAGCTGTTTTAAATAAGTGTAAAAAAAAAAATCATAAAAACCGTCTGCAGAACTGAGGACAGTCTTTCCATGCCTGTGCATACTGAAAAGGAACACACAAGTTAAAGAGCACTGATAGAGTTCAACTGGTTTGCTCAAGACTCAGTCTAACTCTCAAAAGGAAAAATTGCAAATCATCATTTACACTTATCTGAAAAAGTCATAGCTAAGATACTAATAGTGTGCTGAATGTTCCCATTTCCCCCTCCTACAAATTTATTTTGTGTTCCTTTAGAAAGGTGTGATTGGACCACGTTCATGAACGTGTTCACAGTACAATGAATCAAGCTCTGGGGCTGTCTTTGCTACCACAGTGGTATTTAGCTTACTAAATTCTAGGTAAAAGGGGTGGTTTGGACTTCATTTTCAGCCAAGAAACTATTGAAGAAGTGAGAGCAAGACTGTTGTGTGAGTCTTCAAAGACTCACCTGCTCTGAAGAGGGTGGCAGAAGGGATATGTTTTCAGGTCTTTCATACTGTCTCACCCAGCAGTTTTGAATAAATATATATTAAACATTAAGTATATGAATATGTTTTTTCCAGTTTGTATGCCAGTAAAAAATAGCTTTTAATATTCTGAGGCTGTTGTTGGTGCTTTCTGGAAATATAAGGAAAGATATCAGACATCTCAAAGTTTCTTATTTTGTATTTTCTTATAAATATGTTAGCATTAATTTTGCCACTTTGTATTTCTGAAAGATTTGACACATGATATTTGGTTTAAATGATTCTGATGTTTATTTTATCTATATAACTGGTATTCACCTTGCAGTTATTTAGTGTCTTCTTGAAGGCTATGGTATCAGATAAATTAGATCTAAATTATGTTTTTCAGAGGATAATTTATGTAATCTAGATGATTAATTACATTTAAAATACAGAGTAGTTCGATTACTCTTTTCGCGGAAACAGTGTTGATGTCAGAAACACTCCAGTTCCTGCATTTAAGTTGTCTTTGAATCATCGTGCATTTGTTTTGGAGATTGCAATTCAGAAGCTGGACTTCTCTTTTGAATGAAAACAATACGATCACTAAAAAAAATGTTTTAATTCACTTCTTAGTGGAGATTGTTCAAAATCATTGTCACAGTAACCATATAAACTATATTTTACCTATTATTTTGAAATAAATCCAGGTGGATATATGCAGATAATTGCAGTTCTTGTTTTATTCTTGATTATTTGACTGTCCCGGATACGAATTTATTAACAGGGGCAGAATTGATAGGGCCTAGCATTTTGCTGGGTATCCTTGGAAAACCTAAAAGTTTGGCCAAAGATGCAACTTTGATGGTCCATATTTTGATTTTAATTTGTTGCTTTACCTAAAACACCCGTATCACAACATGAAATTACTACATTAAGTACATGTTTTTCTAGTATCAGGAAGTGAAGGAAGGGTTTTCAGGTAGAATTCCAATACATTTGTATTGGACAGAGACACAAGTACTCCATGACTAAATATATCCAACTGTAGTTCTTATTCTATCCAGGTCATTGAATACATCAAGTATTGGACTCTTAGATTACCGGAAAAAAAAAAAAAAAGTCTTAAAAACTCTTATTTTTTCCATTCTGGGAACTGCAAAGTCCCTTACTGCTTTAGATCCCAAAGCACTTTGAGTTGTCTAGGGTTTGCAATAACTCCAGGGCTGTCCATCTGTCCATAGACTTTGAGGCTCTTTTGGTATGCAAAAGAACATAATGTTTTTGTTGGTGTTATGCTAATAAAAGTCTTGGATGTTATGCTGTGTTTAAATGTTGTAGTTGCTGATGTGCCAATTCAGGAGATGGTGACTTACAAAAGGGTTCATTTAGTCAAGTTCAATTTGGACAACTACTTTACGCTCCTGACTCTTTCTGCTTTCAAGGGGAGAGAATCATGATTCTTCCCATTTATTTTAGATGGCCGCATATTTAGGAAGAATAACCCTGGAGGTGCCAGTATCCCTCTACATTTACTAGGCAGGAAAATGCTTAACTTCAGGAGATAGCTCTCCTGGTACCGTGCTGTACAGTGAGAAAGCAAATTGCAGAACGTTATTTCAGTTCATACAACTTTTCACATTTTTATTTCTGTTCATTAAATTGTCAAGTGTTTTTGAAAGGCTTATTTTGTTTTTCAGTGAGATTGTTATTCTTGTAGAAAAATATTGTAAATCTTAGATTAAAGAAAATTAAGATAAGGTTAAGATAAAATTACACAAAGTTATTAATCTTCTCATTCTTTTTTACATACGCACTGATATTTTCATTGTATAGTATATTCAGAAAAAGTGGCTTTTATCTTTTCTAATTTCTATCTTTTTCTAAAACCAAGCAGTCTTGAATCAGAATAAATTTTTAGATGCAAAACTGCATTCTATATCAGCACCGTATAACATTACATTAATAACAAAACATTAATTGATTAGTTGTCTTTTATTAAAAAAGTACTTTATTGTTCTTAAAAAAGATATTTCATATTGCAAAATGGTTCATTGAAATAGTAGTTCCATTGAAGTCACTGGTCAGTCATAGTCCATAAGTATTTTCTCAGGCAGATCTCATTCTTTAAACCTTCATTGTATTTCTATTCTATTCTATTGTATCTTATTATGCACTCATAAAAAAATATATTGCTCATGTGTGTGTGTGTGTATAAATATATTTGAAAAATAGATTGCTAAAATGCCTCCCTTACCTATATGGAGTGCTGATATTTGTGCAGAGCCTGTGACCTTGATGCATTGTAATGTTAAGCTTTTGAAATACTTTAGAAATAAAAATTAATTTCTTTTATACTTTTTAAAAACTTTTTTAGCTTCCCCATGGGTAGATAAAAGTCGAACTCCAAACAAAATAGACCTGTATGATGTTCGCAGAAGACCATGGTAAGCTTTTTTAAAAACATTTTAAAGCAAATGCGTCTCTTGCTTTCTGGATAAGATTTAAAAACTACATTTTTATCGATATTCTTTGTGGCTAATAGTCCTCTCTTTTAAATATCATTGCTTTCTTTTTTTCAGATCAATTAATTATTCCCTGTAGGCAATATTTGCATTATACTCTTTCTTGTGCAATTTCTGTATGCCCTGTTGCATTACACAGACCTTTTCATGATGAGGATGGCTATGAAATAGATATGAAGACAAGGCAATTAAATGCTTTGGTTTTGAACCAAAATGAAATATGATTCAGATTATCAGGCTCAACCATTCTTCCAGATGTCACCAATGTATACAAATGTGTCTCGTGGTTTGGACTAACGCAGTGATCACCAGACCTCAGACAGCAAGTGAGCCCTGCACAGGCAATGCTTGTCCTTAGTACTGTTTGTCAGAATGTTTTTCTCTTAGCCTCTCAAGGCACAATACATACTGATACTGGGATTTGTGCTAATTCAACGTATGGACAAAATAGCTTTTTATGAACAAAATAGCTTTCCCAAAACTGGGCCGATGCAATATTTCCATTCACCTGTCATCAAGATCTCGGCACATGGCACATGGTTTTCTACTAGATTCAATGGGAGAATGTTGCTTGTTCAGCTAGACTTGCTTCAGAGATGACAGATTTTCTAAGATCTTACACAGCTGTAGTCTTTTCAAATGTGTATTGTTTTCAAATGTATATCTTTTTGTTTCAGGTATATCCAAGGAGCTGCCTCTCCCAAAGACATGCTTATTTTAGTTGATGCGTAAGTGTTTATGACTGTATATAGGCTTTAGAAAAAAAGACTTCCTGTCTATTGCACAAATTGATATATGCAGAAAAAGGAGAATATGCAGAGAGAATTAGGAAGACCTTATGTGCAAGCATAAAAAAATCTTGTGTATGAACAAAATAACCACATAGGAAAAAACAGCCCAAACAAAACCTGCAAGTTGTTTAAATTGTTGTACACAAGGAAGTGTTTTTGAATCAATTTGATATTGTTCTGCTTTCAGCCTCTTAATTACTAAACTAATCAATGGGAAATTTCTCATGTGAATGCCAGAATTTGTTGTAAAATACAAAAACAAAAGCAAATGAGTAGAAGCATGAGTCTGTATTTAATCATGTTTTAATGACCCTGAAGGATGAAGGTTTATGCAGACTTTGCATGTTTTACCTTACGTATTTAAATATTGCCAAGTTTAGTTCCTGTAGAATATTAATCCCCAAGCAATGATGTAAATTATTTTAATGGATAGGTATGTCTTATACTGTATATAACTATGAAATAAAACAAAAAGAAAATAGTAAGAGAATTTGTGTATTTTAGTAAAGGTTGCACTTTGTCAATATAAGCCTCTTTGTTTGTCCTTATTGACCAGATGTTTAAATTGTTTTATTCTGTGAGGACAGAAGAGAACTATGTTATGATATGACAAATTTGCAGCTGCTGTTTCTGATTTCCTATAAAAACTCATCCTATATTTGGCATTTAAACTGAAAGATTTATTCCATGTAGTATAGAAACTGAGCAAAGAAATTTTTAAAAAAACTCTTGTTGCCTTGTCAAGGCGTCCTGTGTGTAGTGAATGTCAAGGGACATTCTCAATAAGAGAATTTGCATTGAGTGCTTTTAAATTTGGTCAAGTGCTTCCATATCAGAAGTGGGTTTTATCAACATTTGTTATTTCTGTGCTTCAATTTAGGTCTTTCCTCAAATCAAACTAACTGCCATTTAGGTATCTGAAATTGTAAAGCTGTAACTCTATGCATAGGAGTATAAAATGCTATGATAATACATCAATTGAATGTGATAAACTCCTTAAATTTCTTGAAATAAAAATAAACAAATGATGTATCACCATGGTTTCATCTGAGCCACAGAACTGTGGTTTTTAATATCAGGATTATATTTCTATTAATGTAAAATCGTTAATGGTGAGTTGGGGGCTATATTAGCACTTCAGGAAAATTATTAAAAATTTGAGTGTGGAAGTTGCTGAAAGCATTGGTTTATGTCTTCTATTTTAATTTTACATTTTCAATGCAATTCATTAAAGTCATGTTTTTTCTTATTCTGTGTGTTTCTGTTAGGAGCGGGAGCGTCAGTGGATTGACATTGAAGCTGATCCGCACATCAGTCATTGAGATGTTGGAGACCTTGTCTGATGATGACTTTGTGAATGTAGTTTCTGTGAGTATCTGCACCTTCAACACAGTTTGCATTGTCAACAAAACCATAAACAAACTATTTTCAATGCCAGATATGAGCGACTGGAGTATCAAGCTGCTAAGAGACTTAGAAACAAAATATCGTGTTTGGCTGAATGTTTTCTTGTAAAGTAGAATGAGAATCATGTACTTGTTCACATGTATACATTTGAATGAAGAGCTAATCAGCAGTCAAAGCAAAAGTTGCATAAACAAGCTTATTTTTAGCCAAATTCTCCTTTCCAGTGCATAATTCTGGTTCATGTAATGCATCTTAATGTTTGTTTTGTAAATGCAAATCCTTTGAAATTGTATGTAATTCCCAAGTTCAATATTGCAATAGGAGAATTTTTCTTTGGAGAAAGAATGATACAGAGAAGGTCTCTTTTTCTAGACCATAGACATTTGAATTGCTTATCTTAAGTAATGCATTATGACCAAAGAAGCGCAACCATATACCACCAAAAATGTGTTCCTGATTAGTTCAACAGTTGGCAATTTGATGGGTTACGAAGTAATTTTTCCCATAATAAGCAATGTAATAAATCTATACATGGTCTTAAAAATGCACACAATTTAAATGCACAGAGACAGCATACGTAAAGTGCAGGTCAGAGAGGCAGGAAGAGAGGATTATCAAGTAAAGGAGAGGTTGACTTTTCAGCAGCTGAGATACTTCAGTGCATGGTCTGAAACTGTAGTACTGCACGTAAGTACTACACTTTGAACTTGAGTACCAGACTTAAAACTTTAGTTTCTTTAAAACAGAGTTTTAAAACAGTTTTTTTTAAAAAACAGCTGTTTTGGAACAGTATTTCAGTCTTTTTCATACTTGCTTGGAGTTTAAAATCCAAATTCCCATTTTTCAAGAAGAAGGAATAAAAAATAAAATAGATTTGGGGGTGGGAGAAGGTGGTATGGACTAGTTTTGGTGGTTTAGTTTTGAATGGAATGAATTGAATGGTCTAGCTTCATTTTTTTTTTTTTTTTAAATTGAACTATAAAACTAAGGATTTAGGATGTCTAAGGATTTAGGATGGGAATGCTGAGATACTCTTAATGACAAGAGACAGGCTGTGTGCTGAGTAACTGCAGTGATTTTGGAGGCATTTTTCAACTTCTACAGATGTGTTGTAGCCATCGTGCAGAGAAAAAGACCTGAAATATTGCTATCAGAAATCTCTTTGAACACCACTCATTGATTCCTCTTTTGCTGTCAGTCTAGTTAGACCCCTTTTCTAGTAGTAAGGGCGAGCTTTCATTTGCAATGGCATTTCCTTTGTTAAAATTTTTAATAGTGGATTAGATGATTTTCTTTAGTCACTGTTGTAGTGAAAAGAAGTGAAGGTAATGTTTTTATTAAAGGAAAATAAGTCGTAATTATGTTAGAGAACTGAAATATTGTTAGGTTCACTACTTAAAACAAAACAAAACAATAAAAAACTCCTGAACTGATGGTAATTGATTACTGCCTTCAGTGGAACTGTCACAGTTTTTGCCAAAGGAAGATCTGGAGCCTGGCTACCCCCAGATTTGCAGAGCTTTCCAAACTCTTTCTTTCATTTACTCCCTGCTGACCAGAAAAGGTTCATCTTAGCACTGAAGCCAAGGTAATAAGCCCTGCTTAGAGCCAGGGTATAACTAGCTAAGTTTCAGCATTATTCTAGGGAGTCCCCAAGATTTCGAATTGTATCAGTAGAAGCCTAGAAATACTTAAGTGTTTTCTACCTTTTGGATTGCAACTTCTAATATTCAAAGAACTTTCTTTTCTGAATGTCAAATATTAGAATCCAGGACCAACAAAGTCTTTTTTCTAGTCCTGTCTTCTTTCTCAGGGGAAGGTGACATTCAGAAGTATACATACCAGAAAATGGAAGTCCTAAATATTTTGTGGCTTTTTAGTGTTGTGCATTTATGATTTGAAACTCCATACTAAATCTTTTCAGTATTGCCATTCATTTTGTGTAACCTATACTACTCCTTGGCTTTCTTTACACAATAGAAGTAAGCATAGAAACTTAGTCATTTTTAGCCTTCTCTAAATCTTTTTTTTTTTCCCACAAAGAAAAGTCCTGCCAAAGACTCTAACCAAAGTTAAGCACAAGAAGTGATAGTACTTTCAAACCTGACACTATTTGTTCTCAAGTATATTTATAGAAATATATCCACATGCATAACTTTATCATTATCCACTGCAAAGTTGATTTTAGTTGCTGTACTTCTTACTTTTTTCGTATATGCCGTTATGATGCAAATATCTCAACACTTTAGATGAAACATAATAGGTTAAAACTGTCAGAGTTCTGATCAGTCAGATCTTTGACAATGTTATATATATTTTTTAAAGGATTTCTTTGCAGGTGTGAAATCTCATCTTTAAGTGAGTATACAATTCTTCATTTTATTGTTGATTTTTCCTCATTTACCCTTGCTCGTATACCTTTGGAGAAAAGCCTAGTGATTCATGAGGTCGTTGTACAGTGCTAACAGTCAGCTGATTCATTAATTTTTATCTAATCCTAAAATAGTCTCAATATGTCTTTTTGAAGTGATCTGAGGGAATCTGTAGAGAAATAATGATTCATACACAGAAAGGTCATCATCTTTCCAGAAATAATATTCAATGACTAGTAATGCAGTCTAAATCACGGCCATCACCAGTATGTTCTTCATAAAACCAAAGCCCCCCAAAAAAACAATTAAAAAATTTTGTCCTAGGTGGAAAAAACATACATTTACTTAATATGTTTTGTGTTACTGCTTCATGACATTTTCTGTTGAAGCATGCTAGTATTAATTAGGCATCAATGCCTATTCAAAAGTCAAAATAAGTAAGTGATAATTCTCAGCTAATACAATATTAGTGGATTGATTTATGAACACTAGCAATAATTGGAGATTATCTACAACTTTTATTTCCTCCCTGGATTTTTTGGCCAAAAAAGCAGCAGTTGTTTTATGGTTTGTTAGATTTAATAACCACAGAGCAATTAGTAATGAGGTTTGGAGTTAACAAGAGAGCTGTTCTTCAGCTCATCTCTGCCAGGATGTTGTCCCACAAAACACATATGTGTGGTGATTCATGCCCACAAATGAGACACACGGATTTAAGCTCTTGTCAATCATTTCTAGAAAGTGACAGGGTGATTTAATCAACCATGTCTGGGATGTGGAGAAATCCTGGGGAACAATGAGCTTAAAAGTGGTATGCTAAGATACATTAGTTCTACTGATTTAATTTGTGCACTTATTTCTGTGCAGGAAGAGTTGAAAGAACTACTAAGTCATATGAAGCCTGCCAGGGGTTAATATGTCATGATTTCCTCTGGGATTTGCATTTTTCTTATCTGAAGTGCTACGCTTTGTTGCAGAAAGGAAACCTGCTGTTAGAAAGAGCTTAAATGTATAATACAGCTGTTTTCCCACTAATCTGGTTACATGCTTTGATAGCAGTAAGTGGTAGGTGATAGGGGCAGCAGTTCCATCCCAGCACGCTGTGATTTAGTGACTTGGTTTCCAATGTTGACACAGAGAATATAATTTGTTTATGATGGTGGGAAGGCTGCAATGTGCAGGAGAAACGTATTTCAGCTTTGAGTCTGTAGAGGCGGGGATATCACTCAAAGGAAAATGCTGACGTACAACCACAGATATGATAAAGGTCAGGAGCTGGAGGACTGCTTAGAATCACTCATCCTTTGTAGTAATCCAAACTACTACTTACTGTTTGGAAACTGGAAATTAGATGTTATGAGCATACTAGCAATAATGGTGTCAAGATGTTGGGAAATTGAAAGCTCATCTCCAGCTCTTGCACAGTTCCTGAGTGCAGACTAAAAGCGAAAGGAAAGAGATACTAGGTGAATTGTCTGCAAGGAAAAAAAACTATTAATCAAATGTTCTGTTTTCACATGGATTCTGAATGGCAACTTACTGTGTAATTTTGGTTGGCCAGTGAATGGCAAACTGTTAATTTACACCCATTACTCCCAAGTTAGTACTAGCCTTCCTAATCATAATATTAATTTTGATATGATTAACCTAATACCAGCTACCAGTAATGTGTAGTAAAGAGCTTTTTTTCCAGCAAAGAGATCCTTTCCTTTTCAGCTGCCTGTATTTCATACTTCAAATTACACTTATATTCTCTTAGATCGAGGGGTACACTCCCTCTTTTTACTTAAGAGATATTTCTTAAGTGTGTCTGAAAACTTGGCAGACAAACCTTATCTGGAAGCCTTACTGAAGGGAGGAGGATGCTAGACTTTGCAGCCTGCTAACATGTTAAGCATATGCTTTCTTTGCTTGATTTAGATTTTTGGGTGTATTTATTTTATTTACTTCCATTCACTTGGTAAAAGATTCCAGAAGTGTAGTTCTTAAAGTTAACTTCAAGTCAGTTTCTTTTGTTAATTTACATCCATTTAAAGTTTTTTTTTTCTGTGAACTTTAAATTAAATAATGAATTTAAACTTGCTAAAAATACATTTTATTCCTGTGATTTTGAATTTTGACCCAGAAGGAATCTGTAGTGGTTAAGAATTGTAAATAACATGACTTGCTGAGGAAGAAATACAACATGTTAACAATATCAGGGTGAGTTACTGGCACTCATATGACAGCATGGTTGGATCTAGAGGAAGAGTTGAATAGGACATCTGTATGAGGGGGCTTGCCAGCAGACTCTCTAGTGCTCTTCAGTCTTTGCTTTCCCATTTTCCACAGCAGCAGACAACATTGAGGAGAAAATATATAGCTGTCTGCCATCTTTTTCATTATTTGACAAATGCAAAAAAAAAAAAAGAAAAGGAGACTCCAACTGTTGGTCTTCATGACTATCTCCATTATTGATTTAGTCCTAGAGCATGCCAAGTAACGAATCACAGTAGCTGCTACTAAGTATACAGTCTCCTCAAAATTATAGCTCTGGAAGGCAATAAACAAATATATGTTATTCTCTTTTCCTCTCAGTCAGTGAAAAGC